CCTTGCCAGATTAAATAGAAAACAAAACTGCCTGAAATTATCACTTCTCATTGATCTGCAAAATTATCAATTTCCCAAATATATACGATATATAGAGGGTCATGAAGGGGTAAAATGGGAACTGAGATTGATCTATTTTTAGACTGGGAAAATGGGATTTGGGTTGCTGAGGACTGGGATTTGGCCACTGGGAATGGAAAATGAAGTTCTCAAAAATGGGAATGGGATTGAGGTAATGCGAGTCGATTCCCAATTTTTCTACGTTTTAAGTATTTTAAAATACAATTTTGATCCGTTTTTGGTGTCTTTGGTCATGATTTTTGTTGTTAACTATATTATTCACAGCACTGCCTGCGAACAGGCATACTCTGGCGCCCGGAATTCTGGGTTTTCTGATTATTCGTGTCTCAGAATGCTGCAAATGCCATTTCCGGGATTCAAATTCAAAAATTATCCGTGCCTGCTGCACGAGCCCACCCGCCCCCAATATTTCGTAGGGTGTCCGCCACTTGCACACACGGTGGCTTAAAAGGTCTTAAAACTTTTTATTCTCCCAGTACCGTAGCAAGCTCGATAATTGGGGGGGGGGGAGAGCTCATATTCATATATTCGTGTTCTGCGTTATTAATTTCTTTTGAAATCGATTGTTTTTATGGTCTGTGAACACGAATATATGAATATAAGCCCTTCCCCCCTCGCCCAATTATTGAGCTTGCTACGGCACTACTACCAACAAATAAAGGGGTTTTTATTGACTGGGATTTGAATAACTCGGACTGGAATTTCTAATAAAAATCCAACTGGGACTGGGATTTTGCCAAAATTTCAGGTGGGAAATGGGATTGGGACCCCCCTTCAGGACCCTCCCGATAGGAAGTGTAAAATTCAGCCACATAATAGAATGCATTTGTTGTGTTTCTGAGCCTAGTTGATGCGATTGCTTTACGTTTTCGTTGCACTTGAACGGTCGTCAATACTGCTACTGAACGACATAGGGTAAAAGAATTAGAAGGCTAACTCTCCGACATCTTACCATAATCAGCAATATGATACCTTACTTCCCGTCACGCCCTGCGCGCAAAAATTAAAAGTTGGAATTGCCTATTGGCTACGAGGAGCTGCGTTCAATCTCGAACCCACCTGCTGACGTATGTTTAGGAGGTGGGTTCGAGATCGATATTTCGGTGGCGGCCATTATATGCATGAAGCGATTTGATAGATTTAATAATTATTATTTTTTATTTTGTTTGATGAAAATGGAATATTCTGTATTCAAAGTGGAAGAGTAGAAAGAGGCCGCCGAAAATGTTTGTTTACATAAATCTTGGCAAGATTTTCGCAGTCGCAGAGTGTGTGCATTTTCTCTTTTCAAGAATAAGGGAATATTTAGAGATTTTCTTAGCTTCGGGGAAACACAGGCGGCCCAATATCTGAATGGTCTATATATTTTGAATATTTCTACGGAATATTTAACCGTTATAAGTATAGCCTATAGGTATAATAGCATGGTTTCGAGTGCAATTTGGATATAACATGCATGAGTGAGTTTTTCAAAGACCTGAAAAAAGCACACTTTTGGCATTGGCTAGACTGAATCTTCATGGTATGTTTATGTGAGTACCACAACTCAGTCACTGACTAGCTTGGTTAGCTTAGCCTTCGAACAACTCAAATCTATAGGGTTGGAATATGCTATGCACTTTAGGTATTTTAAAAAGACATTAAATCATTTGAAGACAAGACGCTTGCTAAGCGTTTACTCGAGCTACAGGATTTGCAAATTGCAAAATATCGTGTTCACGGTATCAATGATTGACATCAAGATTTACTACGTTTTATATCTTACTCCTTTAAAGTGCATTATTCACCAATAAATCGAGCGAGCTACTTTGCGGCGCAGTGGTTTAGGCGCCGCTTTCGATGCGTGGTTCTCGCAGTTTAAATCCCGTATATTTTCAAATTAATTTTTTTTTTCAACTTCTTTTGAGTCTGATGTTAGGGTAAAGTCTTAGGAGTAGGTGTTAGGGTTGTGTGTGTGTACAGTTAATAGAATACATGGTTTGGAGACTTGATGAAAGTACAATAACTATGTTGGTTTCGGTTTATGCAAGAATTTGGGCCTATCTCGTCACGTGTGTATTGTATTTTTTCCGAACAACCAATAGCAATGTTTAAATTGAGCATTTGTTCAAGTTATGGATGGATAACTCAACCACAAACTTGTTATTGGTTATTTGAGCGAAAATACAATACACACGTGACGAGATAGGACCAAATTCTTCCATAGAACTGGACAATAACATAGTTAATGAGTTATATTGTACTTTCATCGAGTCTCCAAACCATCTATTAAAACTATAACTGTGGTGTGTGTGTGTGTGGTAAATTTAGGACTAAATATCCTGACTCCCGGGCACACTGCCCGCCTGCCGATGGAATTATTAAAGTTTGATAGTTTCATGTGATGGATATTTTGAATATAAACTAACCGGCTGCCGCATCTAGACTAGTATTTTGATTCCGATGGGATTAAGTTTGATAGTTTAAATCATAGACAATCCAAGAATCGATATTTTGAATATGAACTAGATTGAACCATAGTTAATGGAGGAGATGGTTTGGAAACTCATTAGCATTGCAATAAGTCTCACTATCTATGTTTTTGTTCAGGTTTATGCAAAAATGTGGTCTTTCATCGTCAGGTGCGTATTGTATTTTTGCTCAACCAGCCAATAGCAACGGTTTTGTCCAATTTCTCATCTATGACTTTAACAATAGGACATTTTGAACATTCCTATTGGTTGACTTGAGAAAAATACAATACGCACGTGACGATGAAAGACCACATTTTTGCATAAACCTGAACAACATAGATAATGAGGTTTATTGTGATTTTATTGTAATGCTATGACGAGTTTCCAAACCATCTCCTCTATTAACTATGATTGAACACAGGCATAATAAGCTAGCGTACAGGCTGCAGCAGTTTACTTGATCGAGCACGCTTAGAAAGCGTACAGGTCACTACAGCCGTTTACTTTTGATCGAGTACACGTAAAGAGCATACATTCACAAATACTTGATCGAGTACACATATTATATAATTCTATTTCCTTGTTATGCTACGTCACAAGGAAATCACATGAGATTGCGTAACAATTACCCAACATTCAGTGCGTACCTAATTCGGCGTTTAGTGAGGGTACAGAAAATTCTGTGCCCAAAAATTATTGAAAAATATTTAAAATTTTAATTGAATTCGTCACAAAAGAACGCTTAAAAGCGAAACCGACCGTTCCGGAGCAATTTGAACCAATAATTTGGTGGTTTTGCTCGAGGATTCAGTGCGATATACCAGGAATCGTCCACGGACTCAACATGGCCGACTCCGAGGGCGAAATCGAAGATGATGCACGATTGTTCGAAGGCGATGAGGCCACACATGCACAAGAAAGTTCTTCTGGCGATCGGCACGAGAGTCAAACCAATATGGAGGAGAAGTTCGAGGAGCTATCGGGCAACATTAAAGATGGTTTTTCTTCGCTTGGCGAATTGTTGACAGATCTGATGCAACAAAAATCACGAGGCAAGCGCTCCCGCCAAAAATCAAGGTCTTCCTCGCCGGCCTCGGCTGACGGCGACCAAAAAACCAGCCCTAAACGGGCAAGGCTCGAGGATGAACAGAACGACGACGTAGCTGTGTTGCTTGGCGAGTCCCAGCCCCAGGGGGAAAACTCGGGCAATGACAATGAAAAAGAGTTTGGCGCAATTTTGGACAGTGTTGTCCAAGAGCTGGACGAAGAACAGTTGGGGCCTGCTGTGTCCGAGAAGCTTGCCGAAGTTATTAATAAAACTCTGCGCTCAAAATTAAGCGAGGAAAAACTTAAAGAAAAGCAAAACGCTTACCCTAGACCACAAAATTGTGAATCACTAGAAACTACTCGGGTTAATCCAGAAATCTGGGCACAACTACAATCTTCAACCAGATCTCGGGACATACGTCTCCAGAAAGTACAAAGCGTCTTGCTGAAAGGGCTACTGCCATTAGTTCAGCTCCTTGAAAATTGTCGACAATCGGATGATAGGTCGACTGATAAAGGAAAAATCATCAAGCTGGCTCTTGACTCAGTAAGCCTAGTCGCTCAGGCAAATGTAGAGCTCAATAGCCGGCGACGAGCATTGATTAAGCCTGATTTGAATGAAAAATTTCAGCAAATCTGTGGCGATCATGTGCCGATTACAACATTGCTTTTTGGGGATGATGTGGCCAAGACACTACAGGACATTGCTTCCACAAATCGTGTCAGCCAAAAGGTTGCAACACCTACTTGTTGGCCCAGCTATGCTCACCAAAACAACTTTAAATTAATTGGCATTCAAAAAATGGAGGGGGGAGGTGCAGGCCCCAAAACAACCTCCCACGTCACAAAAGGGGCCAGAGCCACTACAGACCACAGAGTCAGTGAAACTCGATAAACAGGTTAGTACCATATATTCATTTAATGATGATACTATACCACCCTTCACAGCTGGTGGGCTAAAACATTTTCAGACTGCTTGGTCAAAAATTTACTTCAGACCAATGGATATTAAAAGCAATACAGGAAGTGGAAATAGAGTTTCTAATGAAACCATTCCAATTGCAGTAAGCTAACTGTCAGTAGTTCTGAGGAGTGCATTGTTGATAATGAAATCACCAAGTTAATGAAAGCGGTAATTGAGCCTACTAACCCAGGATCAGGGGAGTTTATTTCTACCATTTTTATTCGCCCGAAAAAAGATGGGACCTTTAGAGTAATTTTGAATTTGAAAAGGTTAAATGAATTTGTTTGATACCATCACATTAAGATGGACACTATTTATACTGCAATACATTTGATGAAACAGGGCTGCTTCATGGCCTCTATTGATTTGCAGGATGCATACTATACTGTACCAGTATGCCCTAATCACAGGAAGTATCTAAAATTCTCTTGGCGAGGACAATTGTATCATTATACATGCCTGCCAAATGGTCTGGCCTCAGCCCCACGTATTTGTACAAAAATCTTGAAGCCAGTCTATGCATCGGGCACATCTCCTTCGGGTATATTGATGACTCGTACTCGCAGGATGACAACTTTGACGGTTGTAAGACAAATGTCCATGACACAACCACAATGTTTGATTCATTGGGTTTTTTTCCCCATCAGACCAAGTCAGTAACCATTCCTGTCCAACAACAGGACATGACGGTCTCTTTAACCTCTGAAAGAGCCACAAAGCTTCAAACTGCTTGCATAAATTGGTTAGCAAAGAGGAGACCTTTAATTCAGGAGGGTGCACATGTTATTGGCCTTATGGTGGCTAGTTTCCCCGCTGTGACCTTTGCACAGCTATTCTATTGGGCTTTTGCTAATTTACAGTGGTGGATATCCAATATTGAGACATCCTCCAAACCTGTTCTGGCCAGCCAGCCAGATATGGTAATTCAATCTGATGCATCACTATTAGGCTGGGGTGCCTATAGTGATGGAAAGCATGCAGGAGGTCCATGGGGAGAAACCGAAGCTAAGGCACACATTAATGTGTTAGAAACAATTGCAGCCTTTTTAGCATTGCAGTCTTTTTTGTTCTTGACAATACCACAGCTGTAGCTTATGTGAATAATATGGGTGGATACCAGTCCTCAGAATGCCATGCAATAGTAAGACAAATGGGGATTTGGTGCATTCAGAAAAACATCTGGGTATCGGCAACCCATATCCCAGGTGTCACTAATGTAGAAGCAGATAAAAAATCCAGGCAATTTGATGTCCATACAGAATGGGCATTAAATGATCAAGTTTTGATAGGATCTGTGTCAAAAATTTTTAGCCCCAAGTGGACTTGTTTGCATCCCGGCTTAACAAGAAGTTAGAGCAATATCGCCAATATGTCTCTTGACAGCCAGATCCCAAGGCAGTAGCAGTTAATGCTTTCAGCATGAACTGGGCTACTAAAAGCTTTTACGCTTTTCCTCCCTTTAGCCTGTTAACAGATGTTTGGCAAAAGATCCAGGAGGAGTCAGCAGAGGGTATACTGATAATACCCCTGTGGCCTACACAACCGTGGTACCCTGTGGCAATGCAAATGTTGGTCAACCACCCACAGATTTTGCCCAAAATGCAACGTCTACTTTACTTACATCAAATCATGGCGAAGCGGAACTGTCCAGCAGTACCAAGTTACTTACCATGCGGCAGCATCCCCTGGTTTGCAGATTCTTCGTGGTGTTTGCTATAACACTATACATGGGATGTTAACCTAGTGTTGACTTACCTCAAGACATTATACCCTCTTGAGAAAATCATGCTTAAAGAACATGCTCATAAACTTGTTATGTTAATAGCATTGCTATCTGGTCAAAGAACACAAACAATAACACTAATGGACATTACGAATATACAGTTTACCGATGCTGGTTGTCTTATATATATTACATCTACTTCGGCAGCTAAGGCAGCGGGAGTTTCTATAGATGAGATACTCAGTAGTGCAGGACGGTCTAATTGTGCAACGTTTCAGACATTCTATAACAAACCTGTTGAAAATGGGGCAAGTTTTGCTGAAGCAGGTCTAAAGACAGTTATTTAAAAAGTTTCACAGTACATTTACATTATTTTTGTTCTGAGCTATTGCCTATGTTAAGGCTTGTATAGTTTATGTTATCAGCATTTACATTGTTGTTTATACACTTTGTTTATCTGTTTTCACTCCCAAACATTGGGCTTTAAAATCTCATGTGATTTCCTTGTGACGTAGCATAACAAGGAAATAGAATTCTAAAATTAAACGAGACTTACCTGTAAGTTGAAGTTTGATTGGAATTCTGTGACTTGTTATGCAGGAACAAGGGGATCACAGCCCGCCTCATGTTATTATGTATAACCCTGCCCACAAACCAATGTTTGGCAGTTTCTTTAAAGACTGAATGTTGGGTAATTGTTATGCAATCTCATGTGATCCCCTTGTTCCTGCATAACAAGTCACAGAATTCCAATCAAACTTCAACTTACAGGTAAGTCTCGTTTAATTTTAGAATTAAAAAGTCTACGAGTGTGGTGATTTCTTACAATGTAGTAAAAAATCTAAGCAATATGTTCCAATACACAACAGCATTCTGTCCTTCTCATGAACTTTCACCATTAATTAAGATGATATTCATAACAAATATATTAAAATTATAACAATCTAGAATCTTAAACTGCAGTCAGTTCCCAGTGGTCACTTTCATTATCCATTAAAATGTAAATGTTTGTTGTTAAATTAAAATATGAAGAATATGTATTCCGTAGCCACATTAAAATACATCTACCCTGGTGGCAGTGGTTTTGGAGCTGAGGAGAAACCACTGCGAGCAAACAAACGACTTTCTATCGTGCATGCGCGAAGATCACGTGGTGGGACGTACATCATTAATTTGAATGGCATAGTGCTGTTTTATTTGTTGTCTGTCAGTTTTAATCGAACAACTTTTTATTCTACATGCAGTTCACAATTTATGTATCGGTTTTAATATTGTTATTGTCAGTACTGAAATATTTTGAAATCAGCGCCTAGGGCTACAAATTGTGCATTTGAATTTCTGTTATATCTTTTTTAAATTTTTGTATTTATCCGATCAATATCAATTTCTTAAATTCGGTCTGCAAACTTTATTTGTGTAACTGTAACGTTGGAGATTGCGTTAAGGTTTTCGAAAAAATTCCAATTTCCAAAGTTTCCAAATAATATAATAACGTTTTCAATTACTGTTGATTTTGACAATTATTGCAATTTTTGATGGTCGCGACCTCAACCGCTACAAATTTCAACTGATTAAAGATCGTTGCGAGGTGGCACCACTAATTCTGTAAAAGGTTGATTTTTGTTGCAGTGTGTGAATTTATAGTTACTCTGTTGAACTGTAGGCAGTTTTCAAGTCATCTAAATGTACAATTTCAAACATTTAATTCAATATTTTGTAAAGTTATAATATTTTGTAAAAGGTAGTATATTTATAGTGTGTTACTATATTTAGAGTGTGATTGTGTTGTTTTTGTACAACTGGCTCGCATTTTACCAGCAGTGCACAATAACAAAAACTTGTCAAACTTGTTTTACCGGTTTCTCATTTAATGTATTCGTCTGTGAATCAGGACGGCGGCTACATGAAACGATCGTTCGTTTGCTCACAGTGGTTTCTCCTCAGCTCAGCTAGAAACCACTGCTAGCAGGGTAAAATACATCTATTTTCGTTTCAAATCTAATGAAATGGTGCATAGAATACACTGAATTTTGTTTAGTGATCAAATTTAAACATAAGATTCCCAGTGTTCCCAGCGTGCAAAAAATTCCCAGCATGCAGAAAATATTTTCATTGGCTTTGTGGTCCCAGAAAATAAAATATTTTATGCAGCCCTGATTATTGGACATACAAGCAATGGAACAGTTTGATATAGCATAAGTGGCGAAAAATATGAACAAGGTTTTTGTGACTACGGCTCTGCTACGCGTAGTAGCGTAGTGGTTTGTGCCTAAAATTAATATAGTATAAAGCGCACGCAGCATGGCCTGGGTACAATACTGCGGAACTTTGCTCTTGCTTGCCCTTGCCAAGATGGCGTCTAAACAAAAGCATGCGCGAATTGATTTCACGGCAAATGCGATCGAGAAGGAGGTTATGGACAACAACTTGATACTGTTGTTAATTTCAAAAACAGTGTCAAGTTGAAACAACTACGAGAGGCTCTTGCTGTTTTTAAGGGGAAAGCACAATTTGACGTCGTAGGCATGCATGCTCTGATGTTTGGCTTTAACACGATCATGTGGATTTTATTTTCGATTCGACATGTGCCGAAAGTCTTTTCGCGATACAAGAACACACGTTTCACAATTATTTCTCGAATAGTTAAGTATTTGTGCCCGGAAAGTTCGTTGACAGACGTTGTTGTCGAAGAGATTCTGGACATCTTGGAGAAATTTGCACCAAATATGCCATTAGCGGAAACATATTCAAATGACTTTGACGATGCACTCAAAGCTGTCACGAAAGCGGAAGAAATGTTTCTGGTCTCCTTGCACCGCCTGTAGACGATTGTTTAGAATGTGGCGGTCGCTTATGTGCTCCGAATCCACCAAGCAATTGGTATATTATACACAACAAATGGCCCAAAAGCTGTCACGAAAATTATTCTTCGTTGTTCGAGCTGTAAGATATCATATGGCTACGCAATGAGATCAGATGGCGATGGGTATCACGTTATTACAGTGAGGATATCATGGCACGCAATACCATTCTTGAAGTGACAAATGTGGCATATATTGAGAAGGCCCTGTATGTATGGCTAACATCTCTAATGTAAGTGATGTGGATATTAACTGATTTGTATGTAGATAGTGGATACCGGTACTGTATATAGCCAGAATATGTATGTTTTACCTGACATATTTTCACTTTTGCAGTTTTCCTTTATTCAATAATTTGCCATACATAAAGTACAATTTCCGGGAAGGTCCCCACAACAGCATAATGCCAATTACTGTGCCACTTGCATCTGGTCAGGGCCATTCAGACAAATTTGGCTCTGCTTCCCCCACGGGCACAGTTTACATTGCTTTTTATCCAGGGCAGGTTGATCCCTTTGCCTCCCCCTGAAAGGCTATAGTGTCTCTTGGCTTTCTTCATTTTACAGGCTTTCCAGTCTGGGCCACTCAAAGAGCACTTTTATTGGCCAGAAAATAGAGAATGAAAACTAAAATAATTTCACTATTCTTTTAGAAACCACTGTTTTGTATCCTTTCAAGGATTTCTGTATCGTATAATGAGACATTCAAGAAAGAAATTGCTAATTATTCAAATGGTATGGTGTAAAATATTGTATATATAAATCATACCCAGATTTATAATACAGTGTCAGCATGTATGTATTTGTGTGTATATATATATATGAGCCTTGGGCCCACTACATTTACCATTGGACTTTTGATCCAAGACTTGCTTGTATACCATTTACCAAGCAGCCGGCAGATCGGCAGGTCACAATCATTCATTCTAAATATAAGGACATCTCTCAAACATACAGTAAGTCCACCCAAACATAATATCACTACATTTACCATTCCACTGTTAATATTTGTTTATCTGAACAGTTATTTTTTGTGTTTATAACTTACAGTTAACCCATTGAGTGGTAGGGTAGGTAAAATACTAAGGTAGGGTGCATCACAGTGCATTGCCACTTAAAGGATTAATATGGTACTTTAATATTTGATACCAACACAAAATATTGTCCATGCCTAAGCCCCCTCTCCCACACACAAGCCCCTCATATAAGCCCATAAAAACCACTTACAAACTAGTTGTATCAGCTCAGGGCTTGTATTCGGAGGTTGATCATAGCTAAGGTTTGTTCTTGTGTTGAATGAATCAGATATACCCAAACAGCCAAATTATCCCAATCAATGTGAGTAAGATCTAATGAGTTCTTTGTATGTTTGCATGGCGATAAAATATATAATAGTTTTGTTTGTGGAAACACCACGTAAATTTATTATTGCAATAATAAATTTACGTGGTGTTTCCACAAACAAAACTATTATAAGATCTAATGAATTGACACAGAGTATTGTAAATTAAGCAGTGGTATTTAGCTTTGGAAAACTGTTAATATTTTAAAATATAATATTATAAAATATACGGTAATGTCATTACCATTAATACTATTATAATCATATAAATTATGAGAATATACGAAATAGACCTTACCCATTATTCATTTTCACCCAATGGCCTTGTTTCCATGTTTGCTTCTTTTAGTTTTGCAAGTGCACTTAAAGGTTATGTCCCCACTTCTGCATGAATTTGTAGTTGTTGCACGTAAACTCAATCATAAGCTTATAATTTTAACCCTAGTGTACATGAAATGTGAGTAAATACCCAACACAAATATAAGGGCATTGGGCGAAACATGATTAGTCGATAAGATCTATTATGTGTAATATGGATAATCATTTGATCTTGTATCTTTAAGATTCGAATCAGCATGCATCCAGGTCAAGGCATGGCAGAAGAGCCAGGTCAGGAAATGTCAGGGAGAAGTTTTTTTAGAAGGTACAGTATTCATCAGAATCAGATACATATTTCATTCATGACGTTGGCTTTGCAGTGAAAAGCATAGTGTCAGAAATGTAGTTTGGTGCATATATTGCATTCATGCCAAGGTCATCATTTTTTTGTGAAGAATAGCAATGCTAGTAAACTATGGTATACTTTAGTAGTAAACAAGTAGTAAATTATGATATAGTTTTGATTAATAATTTCATTCATATACATTTAGATATTGATGCCTGCTCAGAATTAAAACAAAAAGATGAAAAAGGTATATCTTGATAGGATTTATATAGATATATATATGTGTATGTGTATGTATGGATGTATATATGTATATATGCAAGTGTGACTTTTGGGACCAGGTTCCATCCCTCCCTCACCCAAGGTCCCAAACCAAAGTATTTATTGTGCTATTGTTGAAAATGGATGACATGTGCAGAACATTCTAATCTGTTACTGTATTATCGTTACTACAAACATGTAAGATTAATTAGAGAGTAGATCATTGCATTTGCATAACTGTTCGTTATCCTCCGAGAGATGCTTGGAGAAATAAACTCTTAATTAATATAAAACAAGCTACAATGTAAATTCCAGTTGAAATAAAGTTCATGTATGTACATGTAATAAATATCCTTTATTTTAGCACATATCATTGGTGAACTTCACCGGAAAACTGTGGCAAATGCTTTTTGGGAGTGTGAATTGTATGAAGAGCTCTCACAGAGCAATATAAGTGACAAGTGGTCATTTACCAAAGAGTGTAACGAGAATGAGCTGTCTGGTACGAAAGATAATGCTATTGAGTATATGGTAAGAAAACGGACCTCGACAACATATGATCACGAATGCCATCGAAGTTGTGCACTAAAGGGGTAGGTTGACGAATACTTTAAAGTACAGTATGCATTGTAACTTACATTACAGGTAACACTGGAAAAAATTAATTTGAATGACAAATCAATGTAAAATGATGTGATAAAATGTATTATTTGTTTAGGTTGTGGCAAGTTATATGTTCTTGATGGGAATTGGAAGTTGTCTTATGCACATTGCATGTTCCCTGTTGCTGTAATCATTGCTGGGTATGAAAAGGAAGTTAATTACCCAAAGATTTGTCCTAGGAATCCGGAACACCTGTCAGCATTTTGTGACAAGCATTGCAGTGTGGTGAAAAAAAGAGGTGTCCCAACTGAATTAAAGCTGTTTCTACAGTATTGCAGAAATAAAAATAAAGGTAAATGTAAGGCTAGATTGGGTTATTTTTTAGATAAAAAATATAGTTTTGTGACCATGTTTTATGTACTGTTTAATAAACGAGCAGGAGTGTTTTATTAGGTTTAAAGCCACAAGCGTGAAGCCCAAGTGGCTTTAGACCTAATAAAACACGACCTATGAGTTTATTAAACGGCTTCAAACACGACTACAAATTCAATAGATATACTGCCTTATTAGTATTCTATTCTTTATATAAAAAATACTAATGAAGACACAACTACAATACAGGGTGTATAAAAAAAAACTGAACAGATTTAAAATTGCTCTCAATTTCGCAAAACACCTATTTGTATCCGGTTTTTTATATATGTGTGGCCTCTTTGGGTACTTATAATGTAGAATAATGGGAAAAATTTCTCAAACTCAAATTTTGTGAACCAGGGGGGGTTGTCTTTTCCAACAAACTAAAAATGGCTCACGCACAAAATTTAAAAGCTGCAATCATATTTTGAGTTAACAGATGGAAAATTTGTCGGGTTTTTAATTACTGTACAAAATTTCAGATATTTTGGTTTAGTTTAAGCCTCTTAACTATTCATGCAAAATTACATTTTCCCTAAAAATCAGCTATTTGCATGCTTAATTAATGCATTTGCCTAATTTGCATATGTCAGCAATATGCAAATTAGGTAAAGGCATTAATTAAGCATGCGAAAGGCAGACTTTTTAGAACAAAATGAATAGTTAAAGGGCGTAAACTAAACCAAATTGTCTGTAATTTTGTACAGTAATTAAAAACCCAACAAATTTTCCATCTATTAACTCAAAATATGATTACAGTTTTTAAATTTTGTGCGCGAGCCATTTTTAGTTTGTTGGAAAAAACACCCCCCCCCCTGGTTCACAAAATTTGAGTTCGAGTATTTTTTTTCATTATTCTACATTATAAGTACCCAAAGAAGCTATATATATAAAAAACCGGATACAAATAGGTGTTTTGCAAAATTGAGAACAATTTCAAATCTGTTCAGTTTTTTTTTATACACCCTGTAGATACTGCCTTATTAGTGTTCTTTATATAAAGAATACTAATTAGGAGTGTTTTATCAGGTTTAAAGCCACTGCATGTGACATATTATGGTTGACATGATTTGTCAATAAGCTTATGAATTATTATTATTGAGTGTTTGAAAGGGAATTATTATTATTGAGTGTTTGAAAGGGAATTATAATATAGCATTTGTAAATTCTGAATGCCGATTGGCTAAAAGCTGTGTTGATATAACTCAAAGTCAACACAGAAACGTCGGGAAATCGTCTTTCTTTATGTTTTTTTGTGCTATATTATAAAACAAATATAAAACTCTTTTCCTTATACACTCATGGAAATTGGGAAAATGAGAAATTGTGTAGAAACACGACGCCCAAAGGGCAAAGTGTTTTCACACAATTTCCACTTGTGTTGATATAACTGTATATTTGTTAATTGTTTGGTAATTTACCATAATAATCTTTTATTTACAGTAAAATATTTGTTTATTGTTGGTGACATTTTTCAGAAATCTGAAACTGACATTTTATCTTTCTTGGTATACATTTAAACTTACATTTAAGTGTAACCGCTTTAACATGGCATTTACAGTAAGTGCAGTAAAGGTCATTGAATGCTCTCTAGTTATTACTATTTCACCATGTTTATAACCTGTAATGTTTCAGATCCCGCTATTGTACTTGAAGAAATTGAATTTGAAACCGTTGACACAGTTGAGGACAATGCTGCAGTGTATCAAGGTACAGTTGTGCCAAAACTCTGTGTAGACATTTAAATGAATATTTACAGTCAAGTAGACTACTTGCAACTTGTTATTATCACTACAGTACAGTATTATGAAGGCATTTAGCCATCCTCAACTGTGACTTGCACATTAATAAATTTACTGCCTCATGAAATTGGATTTACAATGTATTATTATGTGTTTTGAAGGATATAAAATGCATACACATGGCAAGCATGTTGTTTGACAACCAGTTGGTCTGGTTAGAACACTACAATGAAAACAATGAGTTTTAAGCTTGGAACGACTTAGAGTACTGTTCATTGTTACCTTCAAAACTCATGTTCTAATTACATTATTTAAAATAACGTTCAAGTTGTATTCAATTGTACATTTTTCAGGTACCAGAAATTTTATGGCAAAGCATGTTGAGATAATTGAAGACTGCAAATAAGTCGCGGTGGTGTCTTGCAACAAAGATACGGTTGGGAAAATTCACCTCCAGAAATGGTCTAGGGGAATTTATATAATTGCTTCAGGTGGTGGTCACATTGAATACTGGCAACCGCTCTATAAGTGACTATTACTGTACTCCTGAGTGCCCTGATCTTAAACACATTGTCACATAATAGAACAAGTTAAAATTTTAATAATATGAAGACTATAATAAGATCACCAAGAACAACAACAACTATTTCTTGTATTACATTCAAATGTGTTATTTTGTTTCCATTTAATTTCCGTACTATACTTATAAGTGTGTGCTAGTAGATAAATTTATACCAAACGTGTGTTACTGGATATAATAATATTACATATGTACAGTATATAAAATAATACTGTATATGTATTTTCAATTTTATATTCTAGGTCTGAATCTCCAACCCAGGCGTTTATGATTACCGTTGTGTGGCTATATAACAAGTTTATGGCATTGAAAGCAAGTGGCAAAAGCGACGAAGAGTTGCTTCAAGCAATGGAGGAGACTGTCTTAGCTTATGACAACATGTGTCATTTGGACGTTCTCCGCATTTCTCGAAAGGATTTGCCTCTTCCTGTGCCATTCAACAAAATGTGGCAGAAAGTTGGCAAGGTTATTGATCGCCTTCATTTGCAGAACCATAAGGATCCAAAATGCAAGATAATGTATAACCCTGATAGTTCTCTGTCGAAGAGCATCAACACAATGGCTGCAGAACAAGTAAATGTTTGGGCAAGTCGGTTGAACAGAATTATGGTATCAATGCCATATATCCATCATACGTTTTTCTTCCATAGAATGGTGAAAAAAAGAAATGCATATACAGAATTTTGCTACAAAGTTGGGAAGCAACCTGTACGTACTTTGCCAAGAAAAACAATACCACCTTAATTATATATACACATGTAGATAATATATACTACACATGTATGTAGTACTGTACCATTAACATAATTTACTGCCATGGTGAGTGCAACCTATTGCGTGAAATATACAGTGTGTCCAGGCAGTCCAGCAGTGAACTAGGACGTATTAACGCTATTTTCCACTGAAGATTTCAAATTTCGATGCTCTGATCTTGTTCCTAAAAGAGAAAGCAGTACTTAGGCAACTATTAGCGTTTGATGGTTTTCTTTAGAAAAGGTTATGTCCTGAGCAGCATTTAATCAGAAACTGAGTATAAGGCTTACTGCAACAGTATAGACCCTTTGCACTGATGTCACAAATTTTTAAAGTGTCCTCCAGATGTTCCCTAACAATATCTGTTTGTGTACAACAACCACATACAGCGAAAAAATTAACCATTTTAATACAAAATTATTATAAACTTTTACAAAATTTGCTTTGTTTACAGAAGTTATATTATGCGTAGACTGCTAATTTGTAGTGCAATGGGTCTATAAGGCTTACTCCAACAGAATATTATAATGCCAAACATCTGGCTCTTGAGGTGGCTCCCTACAGTTTCTTGAAATGCAGAAATTTTATGATTTGGATAAATAAATTTTCATTATTGTTGCTCGTTTTGAACCGCAATTGCGTGATTCGTGTAAAACAATATTGTTAGAGTTGGGCATGACTCGCCTCGTAAAAGTGATGTTACTTTCCTTGTTATGGCAACAGTGACATTTCAATATGGCTGATACTTTGGTTTTATAAGTGTATTTTACTCGAAAAACACCAATTGCGGTTAAAAACGAGCGACAATATTGAAAATTTATTCATCCAAATCATAAAGTTTCCACATTTCAAGAAACTGTAGGAAGCCACCTTAAATGACGGCTAAATGTAAAACTTTGTTGCATTTGCCCTCCCAAAATTTCTTATGAGACTATGAGGCATACATGGTACGCTTGTGGACTGTAAAGGTCATGCTAAAAACTTCAAATGGATTTACCCTTCAACTGCCATTAGATCTTTGTTCAAACCATCCTTTAACTTTTGAAGCTCATTTAATCTCCGTTTCTCTAAGGAAAGAGCAGAAGATGTACACTAGGACAGTAATTTATATCAATTGCAGTCTCCTATTTTAGGCATGTAAATAGAATAAACTGCAGATTTTTTACTTAAGCATATAGTCTTACATTATTTAAGGTTTACCTCAATCACATTCTTGACACGTATTGGACAAATGTGCATAGTAAACAAGAAGTATTTTTAAATTTCAAGAACTATAGTAAGTCTTTAACAATGGGGTTTAGCAGACCATGTACATTAATTTACCCATCATTAATAACCTTTCCGGTAATTACGTCACAACTACATTGTTTTCACCTTAAGTCACACTTAAATGGAATGGATTTCAAGTTTTTTTCTCACTGGCTATGTGCAAAGAAGCAGAACATCCTTTAACACGTGCATGATAAACAATTACTATTTTGACCAATAAATGCAGGAATAAGCTTTAATATGAAAACGAGGCCTCGTTTTCGTGTTAATTAAAGTTTAGTCTCACATTTATTGCTCAAAATAAAAAAATCTTTTTCATGCATGTGTTGAAGAATGTTCTGCTTCTTTGCGCATAGCCAGTGAGAAAAAAACTTGAAATCCATTTCATTTAAGGTGGTCCTAAGTTGAAAACATGTAATCACCGGACAGGTTTATTGTGCGTAATGTATTGTACATTAATGAAATTTGCAGTACTTCTCTGTGCAGCAAAAGAAGTCGCTGGCATTGTGGCAACTTCTTCATTTGCTTCCAAAGAAATTCCACTGTCTATAAAAAGAATAATTACGGGAACCACTCAGCATTGTCATACAATACAAAAGGACGTTATCAAATAACATTTTATTTATTGAATCAACGTTTCAACATCCTGAAGATTAGCATAACATTACAGATACGTGTGTATATAAAGTGAAGAGGCTATGTACTCGGTACTTACTGTCATTTTACATATAATTTTCTACAGGTGTATAAAAAAACTGAGCAGATATGAATTTGCTCTCAATATCACAAAACAGCTATTAGCTATTATTTTTTATGTATATAGTTTCTTTGGGTACTTATAATGTAGAATAACGAAAAAAAATTCTCAAACTCAAATTTTGTGA